CACAGGTCCTGAGATTGGCCTGAGTCTGCCCATTTACAGTTTTTACTCCCAGGTGTTAATTTTGTTTCCTGGAATTTTAGGGAACATAACTACTTCTTCAACATGAGATTGGCTTCAGACATTAAAGGATTTTATATACTGTTATGGAAAACTGGTGTCATGCTGTAGGATATGCACTGGATTGCTAACCACAAGGTTAGTGGTTCAAACCCACCAGCTGCTCCTCGAAATCCTTAATACAGGGTCTCTGTGAATTGGAACCTATTTGATTGATAGCACTTAACAACCAACCAAACAAAAATATACTTGTAAGTGCCTTACTTTTTCTCTTCTCCAGACTGAATATCTTCAATCCTTTCAACCTTTCTTCATGACTTATTCCCAGGCCCTTTGCCACAAACTCTGAAGACACAAAAGAATACCTGGAATGTGGAAATAGAGAGTCTAGGACTGAGTAATGTATTCTGTGTATTAGAGCAGTGGTAGTTCATTGTGATAATTATCATCTCCTGTTTTGGGGGGATCTGTCAGTGGAGGTTTGGGTGTTGCCATGGTGCTGAATAGGTTTCAACAAAGCCTTCAGACCAGAGAGCCTAGAAGGAAAGGTCTGGTGATGGGACAATTGAACAAGATGACATAACCGTAATAAATATCTATGATCCCAATGAAAGAGCTCCAAAATGTATAAAGCAAATGCTAATAGATTTGAAGAAAGAAATAGACGAATCTGAAATAATCATCGTTTATTTTAATACACAGCTTTCAAAAATGGATAGAACAACCAGAAAGAAACTTGACAAAGACACAGAAGAACTAAAAAACACAATCAGCCAACTGGACCTCATAGATGTGTACAGAGCATTCAACCCAACAACAACACAATACACATTCTTTTCCAGTGCACATGGAACATTCTCCATAATAAACCATGTCTTAGGCCACAAAACAAACCTCCATAAATTTACAAATATCAAAATACTAAAAGAATACTCAGACCACAATTCTATCAAATTACAAATCAACAATAGGAAGACCAAGGAAATAAAGTCAAATACATAGAAACTGAATAGCACCCTGCTGAAAAGCAACTGGGTAGTAGAAGATATTAAATGTGAATTCA